TACTCCCCAGAAAAAGAAAGGAAAATTGGGGTGGGGGTGGGGGTGGAGTTTGTTTGTTTTGTGCGGGGGTTTTTTAATTGTTTGTTTGTTTGTTTGTTTTCTGCATAATTTTTTTTCCTCCCAAGTCAAAGATTCTTGCTCTTGTCTTCCCATTTCTTTAATCAAAGCATTAGCAAAAAGTTAATGCTTCTAGGACAAGTTTACCAATTCTGCTTCTGATTACTGACTTCTTTTTTTTTTGTGAGAAACCTGTTCATAGTTAGTGTCTTGAGAAAGAAATAACTCCTGATGTGGATAATGAAATTCAGATTTTGGATATAAAAACTTCAGAATAACTGCACCTGACTTTTAGTTTCCTTGTCAAAGGACCCATGAATCCTTTCATGTCGTTTGACATGAATCTTTTATTCCATTAGAGCTAGATTACAGTCCCCAAAGGCTCAGCGATTTAGCTATATGAAAACTTGAGATAATTTACTATTCCATTTTAGAAGTGTTGCTTCACGTTATATTTAATATTCAATCTGCAAATAAGAATTGAATGTTAAATAATAATTGGCAGCAGGTTAATGCAGAAAAGAGGGTTTCCAGAAAAGCAAATGCATTTTTAGTTCCCATGGCACCACTCCCAATATTTGTTTTATACTCCTGAGAGAAAAGAGGAAAGTAGAACAAATGTTAAAACGCCCACACAAAATTCTCAAAGTAATATTATTATTCCCCCTAAGACTCTAGTCTTGCTGTCAGATTGCTTTTTCTGTCAAGTTTCCAAATTCTTTTATTGAGAAAGGATAATAATTATAATAATACAAAGTTTAAGTTAGTTTTACTAAAATTTTACTAAAATAGGTTAGCTGCAAACTCTCATTGAAAGACCTTGTGGAGTCATTCATCTAATTTGCACAGTATGATTACCACAATGAGAGAGGCTCATATAGACATGCTTGTGTAAACGCATTTTTTGCCTAATCATCACCTTCATGGGAAAATTCCTGGTTTGTATCAGTGATCTCACTAATTATTCATACAAATCATTTTCTTTTTCAAAGAAATATTCACTTGTAAGGATTTTTTGTTCTGCCCCTTCCAATAATGTTGTATAACTTCTGATGTATTCCCATACCCTTTTTCTTTTCAGTCCTGCTGATTATGCTTTGCATAATTCCTTGGGCTGAGCAAGAACCTTCCTAGAATGCTCAATAAATTATTTGTTTGTTTGACTGATTTTTTTAAGATTTCAGTTCAGTCAAGTTTATACCTTTGAGGAAGGGAAATGCTTTCAGAGTTCTCTTTGTGATATTTTATTTGTAAATATGTTTTTGATACTACAGACCTTGGTATTCTCAGAAACTAATTTTTAATTTGGCACCTAAGTGGTTGTACCACAGATGCTTGAACACTGAACTAAGGCCATACAACTTATCTGGAATTGTCAGAAGGGATATATAGTGAGGTAATTCAAGAAACAGAAAGCAACAAAAGCAACATAAGTAAGCCAATAGTTGGAAAGACACCTTAGCTTCTGTGTGCACACATAACAATTCTTCTGTTGTCATTTAGTTAGATTCCATTAGGAACTCCAGACTTCCCTAGACTAAGTGGAAGAGAAGCATGCAGAGCAGTTCAGATGAGATGCTTTACAGCAGATGTGTTAACTAGATGAAACAGCTGCTTAAAGCAAATCTACTATAAGAAAACTCTTTTAGACAGTCACAGTCTTTGGACCAATGCCCTTCAAAAACCTAACTTTGGCAGCCAATGTTAAGCAGATAAATAGTCTCCTGCAGCCCTGAGCAACTTAAGCAAAGGACTACGCTTAAGTACTCCAGATAAATGCTTTTCTGAATTTGAATCTGTCAAAGTTTTTGCAGTGTTCCCAAATCATCAACCCTTTACTACTTTAAAGCAGCTTGCCAAAACTCTATAACCCATTGATAATATTTCACCAGATCTGGTTGCCTCTAACAGTACCCTATAAATACCCTATAGACAGCTCTTTGCAGTCTGAGGAAGATAAGTCCACGTGCTCTAGCTGAATAGAACACGTCAGCTGAAGGATAAACTAGTATATACTAACATCTTCGTTAGCGCAGGTCAGTTACGGACTAGACAGGGTTTAAAGACGAGATTATTAAAAAAAAACCAAACCAACAATCTCCCCCCCCCCCAAAAAAAAAACCCCAAATAAAACGACCCAAACCCCAGCTTTACATGAATAAAATATATTTATGAAAATAATTGCTAGAGTTGCAAACAGTCACAAAAAGTTAGGTAATCTTACTTAAAGTTAAGCATCTTACTAAACAGCTAAATATTTGAGTCCAGTTTCAAAGTCCGTTTTACATTTCATTACACTAGAAGAGCTGACAGGATAATCTTACAGCCATCACATCTAGGGCCTGCTTTCTTAGACAAATTTGGTCCCTAGACAGCTTTTTTCTAGTGGGAAAGATCAGCAGGGACATTGCTCCCTGTTTGGTGCACTTCTACTTATGGTAGGTCCCAGTAATTCTATTTGTGCAGTAAGTGTGTTGAAAATATTAACCTTTAGAATGAGTTTAATTAAAATGTTTCAGGATTAGGAGTTCTAACATCAGTGCCTTCCCTGAGAGCGGAATGATTTTTGATTGCTTCACACCTGGATTGCTTGGAAGGCTGAGAACCAGCCTAGTGTTATTCCTAGCTTATCAACCGAAGTAAGGCAACTGCCTTAATGGTTAATGATTATCTCAGATTAATTTGATGATCATTCTCTTTAGCAGCAAAAATCCTTAAAGATATTTCTATGACAGCTCTTAACTTCTTCCACAGGATTGTAATTGGAATTCCAGAGCAAACTACTCTACAAATATTCCTACAGTTCTAATGATTATGGTTTATTTCTGTGCATAACAAAAGAAATCTGGGGGAAAGAAAAGTTCCTTGGAAAACAGCATCTCCCTAGTCTAGCTTTCTGCATGTTGCCAAGTACAATACCAAATCTCTGTTGATTTCCAAAAATTTGCTCTAAAGTTATCATATTCTCAGTGTATGGCCTTTACTCTTCTACCCTGGGTTCTCATCCCTTTCCAAACTGAAAATCATGAAGTGCAACACTGCACTGACAGCAAGCCATGAAAGTAGGATCATTTTGAAATTAATTGAATATTTCTGCAGGTCAAAAGTTAAATAACTGTCTGAAACTTTGAAGATGCATTTTAGAAAAATCACTGTCTTTGCATTAATTTCCAGCAAATAAAGCAAGTAATAAAAGCCTTCCCTCTTCAATCTCTGTACCCAAATTTTGAAAATCACATCATAGGTGTGGATTAGAAATGAACAATCTTTGCTGCTTGGAAAAACATTTGTCACAGAAATATCTCATAAAATAAGCTATGCTCAGCTTCACAAAGGTTCTATATTTGCTTTTTGCAAGAAAAAGAAAAGCTTTTACTTTTCTATTTCAGGATTACTTAACTGTTCTAAAATTCCACACTTTAATGTGCTTATGCTGAAAATCTTTGCATTCAGCTGGTTTAACATTTCATCATCTATGCTTATAGTGACCTAGATCCCAGATATTTTTCTAAACCCACCACCCAGTGGATGAAATGGTTAAAGCACACTGCAAAATAACTTCTGCTGTAGCATAGAGAACTCACTGCTTTTCATCTTTGCATCAACAGGTTCCTTGTATGTGGCAATACATTTTAAATCCCAGAATTTTTCTATTAGGCTAAGGAGAGAAGTTCTATGGTGTTACATTACATTACAGCTAACATTACATCTTGAAGAGGGATTTTCACTGCAGCAAAGTCTTGTTCATTAGGGTTTTGGAAACTTTCAATCAGCATTCCCGTTCTCACATGACTTGCTGAATCTCAAGGATTCATTCTTGCCATCTAGTGGCTTTGAGCAGAATTAAAACAAATCTGTTAACAACAGATTAGAAAGTTATTGTTTGTGATAAAAGATGGTAGGTGACATGCATTGGATATCATCAACTTAAATCTCACCATTTTATCTTCATTTAAGAAAAACTTTTCTGGAAACTCCCTTAAAATTCATAGAATCATAAAATGGCTTGGGTTGGAAGGGACCTTAAGATCATCTAATTCCAACTTCCACCACTACCATGGCAGGGATTCTACCCACTAGACCAGATTCCTCAGTGCCCCATCCAGCCTGGCCTAGAACAATTCCAGGGATGGACAACCTGTTCCAGTGCCTCACCACTCTCACAGTAAAGCATTTATCCCTAATACCTAAGCTAAACCTACCCTCTTTCAGTTTAAAATTTTCCCCCTTGTCCTATCACAATATGCCCCTTTAAAAAGTCCCCCTCCCTCTTTTTCATAAAACAACACCAAACCAAACTTCATGCATTTTAAAGAACCTTTCTTACACACTGTAGTTACACTTCATGGAGAAAATACGGTCCACTCTGGTTCACATTCTTGCAACAACACAAAATTCCCCTAGTATTACAAAATACAATTAAGTACTCTTTATTTAATTTTTTTAATCTGATGTAATTTAAAAAAAGTAATAATTGATATTAAATTTCAAGATAAAGCGATGTCAGTATAAAAAGTCTGGTCTATCACTGAGCACTTTGAATCTGCCCCAGTTCCAACCTCATTATTTCAAAAGCAATAACAAATACTGCATTTATAGCAGAAGTATCAGATCCAAAGAGTGAATTTCTGTTGCTATTAAAAATATAAAAGAAACCAGAAATTTAAAACCTGATGCATGGACAGAAAGTTAGTGATTAAGAAGCAAGGAACAGAAGTCTGCCCACTTTTAGCAACCACAAAAGATGGAAACTGACTTAAAGCAAAACCTTTTTACAATCTTCTTATTGACATTTGAAATAAAGCTTCAAAAAAGAGGCTGTAAACTTTCTTAATTGTTTATTAATGAATATTTTTAAAAACTAGAAAAGGCATTCCAGGTTTTTTAAGGTGCTGACAATTTATTTTACAGATGCATAAAAGTTGCACAATTTGTATGAAAAATATAACAACAGTCAACTAAAAAACAGTAGAGTATCACACACAGTCTTCAAGTTTCTTTCTTTCTTCAAATTGTTTGTCTACTGCAAGTGAAAGAGCCTGAAGAAATGTTGTCATTGTAACACTGGGGGACTGAAAATAAGAGAACATTTTGTTAGACACACTACAGCAATAGGCAGACATAATATTTTACATAAAAATCACAGTATCAGTAAGAGAAATATTTGACTTGCATGTTACAAAATTTTCAAAATGCTACAAAACAAACTGCAAGTTTATTTTAAACAAGATAGCATGGCAAAGTCAAAGTCAAGCTATTGAAGGTCTTGAGTCAATTACTACTACTGTAGATTTGCTTAAAAAAAGACTTTTAACAAATTAATAATATTTATAAAGTGGCAGAGGGTTTTTTCAGCAAGGAATTATCAGAGAACCAATATCAATATTCATTAATTTAATTAAAAGTAGAATGCTGTTTGACAGGTCAATCCCACATCACTTCTTTAATCCCATTTTAGATTATGGCCAGCACACAATTGTTGCAGTCTACAAAGATGCAGAAACAAGTGAAATTTAGATCAAAAGGGGGGTTAACTTCAGGCAGTGTCCCAATGTCTTCCTGCCTGTCTCAAAACCAAACTAAATTATAATGAATAGAATAAACTCACTTGAATATAATAAACTTACTTGAATATAAAGTGCATGTGCTAGGAAAGGAAGCTTTCTCAGGACTCGGCCACCAAGACCTTCACTTCTTCTACAGTAAAACAGACACAAGTGCTGCTTAAATGCTGTGTTCACTCTTAGAAGACCTTTCCTTTTTCTTGTTTCTCCACTAAATTGCTCTAAATAAACCTCAGATCACAATTCAGTAGGTCACTTGCAGCTCTTTTAGCAGGAGCAGGAAGAGAACAGACAAATTCTGCTTATGGGAGGCTATAGAGTATAATACAAAAAAGGAAGCGAGGGTACAGAAACAGCATAGTCACAGTTGCCTGCCAATGCTTACATCATGCCCTTCATATCACTGTGCCATATCTCATGAGTTTGGGGGAACGTCTACACCAAAAGGGTATGGTACAGATATAACCACTCTTGGAAGGACTTGAAAAAAAAAACTGTTTTGAAGTTTGGACCTCATCACTACTGCTTTTCTCCTTCTACCAACCATTTACAGTTTCCTTCACCTCACCTACTCGATACGTTTCTTGTCTTCTCCAAGCACCACTCTGCGTATGCAGACTGCAAACCTCTATCCCTGGACAAACTTACATGCTTTTACTCCACTCCTCACCGGTTAAGATTGCATACTTCAGGAACAGAAAGAAAACACACTTTGCTAACTTTATGTTATTTTATTTTGTTCCACAGGGACCAGCACTTTGGAAAAAAACATTGCTTGATACTGTGAATATAATTTTTATTTATTGTTTCAAGAACTGTTATGCTGCAGTGAAAGACTATGTGCTCTACGAACATCCTCGGAAAACCATAATACTGTCCATTTACACTTCATTCCCTTCCCCTTTGCTTCTGTCCACTTACATCTCCATGTTAAATACTGATTTAGTAGATTGCTAGGTATTTCAAGACACTTTCTTAGCAGGACCTGAGGCCCATGCTATTTCTGCTAACCTGCATTACAATTTCCAATATCCACTGAAACCTAAGGCATCTCACTAATCTGGCCAGCAATCTGTCAAGAGGACTTCAAATGGCAGAGCAGAAACCAGAAGCAGTACTAAGCCAAGTCTGTTCTGAGACTAAGAAATGTGAGCAAATCAGGATTGCTTCGACTTTTGGTCCCCTAAAAAGTTTTGCACTATCCCCAACAGAAAAAAAATGGGAATGTTTCAGAACTCTAACTGCTATGAAATTCAGTTACTTTTATACATTGTTGCACAACTCAATATATATATATGAAAAAAGTAGAATTTCAGAATCTTACCTTGAGATTTCTTTTAGTACAAGGCTTAGCCTTGAGACATTATTTTCTACGAAGCCTATCATCTCTAGCTCTCTGAGTGTCAGAAGCTGCTGTCGAGGATATATTATTTGACACTAGAAAGAAGAGTAATACATTGTTGTATGAAAAACAAATACATTCAAATTAAATTCTACAGTAGGAATGGAAATACAGAGAAGGAATTAAATTTTTGTATTTTTGTTACTTAGGAAGTATGGTTAAAATGTCAAATTTATTGAAATAGGACATTTTGCAGTCTTGCTTTCAATTATTACCTTCATCAGTTCTTCCAAGCAAGAAAGATATATTCTAAATATTGCTGCAGCAGATGGAGGTCCAATGTATTGCTTTATGTCAGCCCTGTCTACAAAGGCCATGTCAATTTTCTCCGTAATATTTGAAGTAGTCAGGATAACTACATTGGGATACCTTCAAGACAAAAGCATATTTTTAGGTCACATGTTTTATCTCCTTTTCTGACTGGCAAATCAAGACCTTCCCTCTTATGACTCATGTAATTTCTTGCAATAAGCAGTCACATCACTCTTGTCAACCAGCAATTACATTAAATGATCTGAAGCTCTTGGCCAGTTATCACCAGCCTATTTCAATGCATAGTCTCTTTCTTTTAGTTGTTTCTCAAGTGTCCACAGTTTCTCTAATCCTATTCTAGAAGTGATATACATTAACTATCTAGAGCCTATTGGCATAGTTTCTACCACAAAACAAAGATTTTGAAAAGAAGACTCATAAATTTGAAACTTTAATCTACATGTTTTCCGTTTCAATTTAGTAGAAAGTATATAGTTTAACTGGCATTGTGACATATTCTAACTGCAAATGACTTCAGAGTGAGCTCAAAAGAGAACATATCCTTGTTCTAAGCAATGAAAGAACATTCTTAACCACAGCTGTTTTTAGACGAAACCTGTCAACTTTTATATATGAATAAGACATATTTAATTAGGTGCAAGACAGGGCCAAATACTAGGGCCAAATACTAGGGCACCGTTCTGTGAACAGTGCCAAGGATGCACAATAAGGAAAGGGAAGTGGCAGGAATGAAAAACAGCTGGTATGCTGCACTAAATCCAGCATACAAAGTGGAGCGAGCAAGATTAACAGTTTCTTCTAAACCATGTTTTGTCCAAGTCTGCTTTAGATTGACATCCAGAAGGGGTATATAATAAACAAATTCTTCATTCATCTTATTCTTGTCTCTCCACGCACACATCATGATGATCTGTCCTTTTTCTCTCCCTATCTTTAAGGTAAGTATACGGCCTGGTGATTTGATTGTCCACTCAGGTACATGCAAAATACTCTGCTGGATTACTCCTATGTCTTTTCAAAATTAGCATCATTAACAAACAACAGTTCACTAACCAATTTGTTTTAGCATTCCAAGTAGGAACTGAAATTTAGCAGGAATCCTGAAATTGTCAATTATCTTTTGCTGTTCTAATAATATGAGTTTACCTTTTAATCTGATCTATTTGTGTCAGTACAGCATTTACCACACGAATAGCATCTGAAGGCTCTGTGCCTGCCTTGAAGGCACTGCGGGCTGCTGTGAGGCTTTCCACCTACAAAAAACCCAAACCAATCAACCAAAACAACAACAACAAAAATCACCAAACACCAAAAAAACCAAAAAGATTGCACATTTGGAGTCCTGGCAGCAAACAAATAACCCAGCCAATATACCCTCAGATCCTTGTGTCTGGTATCAAAAACTCCATCTTCAAAATCTTTTGTTAAGTAGGAATTTACAGGGAGTAGGAAATGCATGTCAAGGAAGCAAAGTATAGTGAGTGAAATGGAACACACCACCAGAATAATGAATACATTTAATTCAGAATGAGCTTCCCCATAGATATTTCAATAAAACAAGCTAATAAAGTACATTCTTACTGAGTTGCTTAGGTATGCAACTCTGCAGAGAATGTAGACAATGAACTGAACCATATTAATGTATTTTAGAGCTTTACAACAAATGAAGAGTACAAATAATACAAATCTAGGCTACTTTTGCTCCACTTGTAAACACACAGCAGCAAGGAAGTCCCACCAAGAAAGGCTTCAATTAATTTTCAGCTGTAATTTGCCTGCTAAATGGCACTATGTTCCTTCCAAATCTCTCAAATCTGCAGCAGCCAAGATTAAAACTCACTCTTCTGCACAAAGCTGTATAGCTTACGAAATACCATAGATGTGCTTTTATTGTTCTTTACAAATGAGGACTATTACAGTTTCTCTGCAGCAAGTTACTTCCTGCTAAATTTCATATACAACAATGCTATTGGAATCATACCTCATCAATCAGTACAAATACAAGAGCATCTTGGTCATCAACTAACTCTTGAATCTTCTGGAACATCTTGGTTACAAGCTTGCCACTCTATAAAGACACCATATGTAGATGTTTATTTCCTTACCACATAACTTTCCAAGGCTTACCATATTTAAAGATGGAAATACCTGTTTTTTAAAATAACTTCCTAATCAAACTTCTATTTAAGCATTCTCAAACATGTTAATTATTGTGAGTAATCTTTGGTGCATACATGAAACAAGTTCAATAGAAACTGTAATTTCTAAAACACAGTGTGTACTTAATTAGCTACATCAATACATACCTCAGAAAACCATTTAGAGAAAAGACTGTGGCTGTTTATCTCAATTAACTGTCCATACCTGTACCTAAAGTATAAAGGGAAAAGGAAGTATCAACTCCATTGTAAATAAAAGTCAGTGATATCATTAACTCCTGTAAGTCTCATTCTCTCCCTGGGATTCTGTGAATTAGTACTTTAAATTACCTACTTTTCAAGACATAATACCTGTTTCAATTGTGATTTCCAACAACATGTCTCAGTAGAATTCTTCACACTAAATTGCTATTAGAATGTCTCCATTAGAACAGGTGCTATTTAAATATACTTTAAGTAACAGTTACCATGCTAATTGCCTCATTCTCCTGTTCATGTATAGCAAGAACTCATATAAAAGTATGAAACTTATTTACTTAGCAGTGCATGGATCTCCTTATGACAAAATATTTCAACCACACAACATATAGGTCATGTTTTTCACACATTCAGATCGCTCCCATTACTTACGTTACACCTCGTATTTTATATAACATTTATTTTTTGTAAATAAATTTGTTAAGTTGCTATAAATTTTAAGGCTAATTCTTATTACTTGTCTGATATACAAACTGACCTCTGTAGATTGTGTTATTCAGACAATCCAAGTACAAAACAAATTGGTTACAAAATTGCTACCTATTAAGAACAGGCTTTCTTGAACAAGAAGATAGAAATATCAAAATAATCTGTGATCATTTGTCCTTTAATATTCATTGATGTACAATAGGAGCACAAATTACTATATTGTCACTGGAATTTGTTTTACACACCTAGGCACAAATAATGGCACATTTTTAAAGGCATTAAATATCATAGACAGTCCATCAGATCAGTTTTATTGCTAGGTGGGTGCAGTATAAAAAAAAAGGATATTAGCACTTGGTACAAGTTACTTGAAATCAAATATTACATATATTTGGGCTAGTGAAAAAGAGCTAGTTTACAAAGTAAACTAAGGTGAAAAATTTCAAAAAAATTATCACCTGTATGACAGTCGAATTGTCAGCTTCTGAGCCAATGCTTTACAGAGAGAAGTTTTCCCAGTTCCAGGAGGGCCTGGTTTGAAATCAGATCCATACATTACACAGAATTTGCATAAGATTGTTAATGACATGTAACAGCTTTTTAACTACTCTATTTCATCATAGAACTAACTGTAGAATAAAAACACAGTAGGCCAGAGTATTTTGAGAAAATCGCTTATTCCACCACAGTCCTAGAGCCAAACAGGCAAGTACAAGCATAGTGATTCATACAAGAGTATGAATCTATGGGAAATCATGTGTGGGTGCTAAACAAACTGTTAATGTCAACCAAGTGACAGTACTTTCATTCAAAGCCAGTGCTGGCATTACAGCATAAATGTATTTCACACTGCAACAGTTGCAGATTTCTTAGAATTAATTTCTTTGTGATCACAATAACAAGCTCGTTATTAAAATTAAATATATCTATCATAAATACATTGCTAACAGTCTGAAATAAATAGTTTTTCAAACAAAAACATCCTGCAGCTTTTATATTGACAGTTATAATTTAAGTACAATCAACAAATACTTCCACTATGATCTTTTATTTTTGAACATTATTCTTGATGACAAAATTGCAATTAATCAATAGCAAGCTGCATTTTGCAAGCAAATGGATTCATCTGATGCTAATCTCATTTCTGGTATAACTTCTACAGTAAGCTAGGACTGACTGAAGGTTACAGCTTCACTGAAACAACTAAATTAGTGAGAGTACTGCCTACATACTTGGCAATAGAACACACAGTGTAAAAGTGCCAAAACCACAACACATAGATTTATTTCCCAGTTTCCTCAAAGTTTTTATAAAGCCATAACTAACAAAATATTTAATACTGGGATAGAAGTGAAACTAATATATGCCTCCTAATGTTCTCAGTATCTGCATAATTTTTGCTCTTTATGTAAAAAAGCTGCAATATCACTTAAAAATGAAAATTAAAAAACCCCACGGTTGTCACTGCACTGTAAATTTTAGAATTTAAATTCCTGCAAAACATAGTACACATGAATATTGATTTCACTCTGACATTACACTTAATTTAAACTTGTATAATAAAGAGGATATTTCCCTGCTATTTTTGTATCATCTAATTTCACTACAACAGGTCTGCAATACAATTTTTGCCAGAAGGAAAGTATAAACAGATGGCCAACAAATGTACTCGGTTTAAGAGAGATCGTTTTTACCATGCAGCAAAACAACTCTGTTCCATGATATCAGGTTGCTGTCGACATTTTTGTCAGAGAATAATAATGTTGTTGTCACATAATCAAGTAACTAATTGAAAAGGAGAAAAATAGACACTTAGAGACATAAGAGCAAATACAATTACAGACAGAAGCAATCTTCTAATCATGCCTACTGCGTACTCATTACAACAACAACAAAAAAAAGTTCATGTCTTTAAGTCATAGGCAAACTTATTTCTCCGAAGTATGGGAATTAATTTCTGTCCTACTCTCAAGAATATGAATAGAATGTACTGGGCACAAATAGAGATCTAGAACTTTTAAATTAATAAATTAAATGCTTTAAGGAAGCGAAATTATTTTCGTTTTCCATTGTCCCACTTACAGTGCATCTATAAAACACAAGTTGCCCAAGCACAGAGGGTCAAAGACTCAAACTCTCGGTACTGTTTGTACAGCTATACATTTGTTCAGTTTGTTTTACTAAGCCCACCAAAGCATTTCCTTTCACATTTTACTTCATTTTTACTGAAGCATTTGTATCAGCTACTGCAACAAATTTCTAGATTGTTTACCCTTCCAAATAAGGGAAGTTTCATGTACTTCCCTGAATGCTTGCTTCTAAAAATACCGCTACTTCAATTTAGAATTTCTAGAATTAGGAAGTAGAGAACTCTTTCAAAAAAATGATTATGAACTTCAGGTGTGAATCTATACTGACTTTTACCTATCATAACACCTGATACCACACTACCTTCTGTCACTCTTACCTGTAACATGCTTTTGATCCACAGGTGTTAACAGGACAATATGACAGTACTCCTGCAAAATCTCATGCTCACAGTGGAGCAGTTACACAACAGCAAAAACAACTGAACATATTTTTCAATATTCCACAGACACAGACTGTACTATTTTGAAAATTCGCAGCAACCATTTCAGAGCCCGTAGAACCCAACCATGCCCAGGCAGTTCCATGCTTTAAAGAATGAAGATTCAGCACAATTATTTTTACAGAAGTAGTCCTAGTTTCAGTCATTAAAAGCAACCATTTCGTTCTACCAGTATACACTTACAGTCAACAGTGATCAGCTTGCTGTTATTTAGTACATCAGCAAGTCTAATTAGATAGTCTTGTCATTTCATAATAACTTGGAAATCAGTTTCATAAATAAGACAAACATGGACACGTTAATTCATATTTACCTTATAAATGAAGTACAATCACTGGAATGTTTTGCTTTTCTATATTTGTTTATAAAGACTTAAGTGAGAATACTGTACCTATGGTATTACAAATAAGCTAACGAATTAATTACTTGTGTCCAAAAATGTCAGTTAGAAGCTTCTTTTTTTTAAGAAGCACAATAAACATTTTAATGAGTGCTGTCATAAGAACAACTGAGTTGAGTCACTTGTGGTTTATAGTCACATCACAATTACTAGATTCCAGATTGCAGTATTTCTGTTCTACGAGCTCTGGCATTTATTATCACAACCTTTGATGAATGCACAGAATCTTCGAGCCAGAAAATGACCCCATGGAACTGTTCTGCCTCTTTCAAACGTCTCACCAGCATTCAAGTGGGAGCGCACTCCAGTCATTCAGTGTGCATTTTATGAACAGTGACAGTGCTGGCTGACACTACTGCCAAGCCAATTAATTGTTTAGCTGCTGCCAGAAACACACAGTTAAACTCCCATCCCCTTCTGCCTAGCCTGCACCCACCACATCTCCAAGGGATGCAGTAAACTTCAAACAGGCCTCATTTCAGCTCTTACTTGTCCTCAAGCAATCTTAATTGTTATTAATTTCCAACTTACGTTTGCTTTTACTTCACTGTCATATATGAGACTTTCCCAAAGGCCATGGAATTCAGCTGGAAAAGCAATATATTATATACTTGCTTAGGATAAATCAGTCTGGGAACTTGTAGCCTATCATTGCAGCACAAAGCAGTTTTCAAATTATTCTCAACTAAAAATAGATAAATGAGAGCAATTAAAATATCTGTAAAAAAAAATCATGAGTTATTTTTCTCAAAATGCAAACACTACTTCCTAACAGACAAATTCAGCAATTTCTCAAATTGCTCAAATCCGTCAAATAATTGTGTTGAGAAACTAATGTTGATTTCTTAACATGAAAATACAAATATAATTCTTTCCACCCTCAAGAGGCGGTGGACCTACATTTCTCCAAGACAGAGAGCTAGGAGAAGTTGGGGTGGGAGGAGGGTTCTAAGGCAATTTTTATTATTCAGCTTTGCCTTTTTTTTTTTTTTTTAAAAATTAACATCAGGATGTAGAGGACCAAGAAAAGCATGTGGCTGAATAACGCACAAAAACCTGAAGTTGTCATTTGTGCATCAGTCATTCCTAGCAGTTAAGTTTCTTACTTTCAGCAAACAAAAGCAGAAAAGACCGAGCAACTATAAACCACAATAATGTAGGAATAATGTCAATGTATCAGATTGAATTCTTTCTGAAAATAAATGTAATAGATAGTTAGGCATTTTGAAACATGGAGAAAGTAGGAAACACTTCAGAATAACTGTCTGTTTGAGCTTAAGCTCATACCTGTGCTTCTCCTTCCAGGCACAGAATCCAAATTCCCCAAGCTCAACACAGTAACAGGCAGGTCGTGCTCTATTGCAGAGCAAAGCCTTATTTTTCTCTTCAGAAAACATTCTGAGGACTCTAGATCTCTTTGTTTGTCTGTTTCAGATATAAAAACGACACTGCCCTGGGGGCTGGAAGCCAGCAGTGAGCTCTGGAAAATGAGTATTTAAAGTGATGAGTTTCCTGTGGGTCTCCAAGTCAAAATTTGGAATGCAGCTTGTAGGATTAAAAACTTCAATGCTTCTGATTATGCCTATACATTTTAGACCACAAGACCAGTTATTTCCACACATCTGTGAGTATTATAGAAATAAATGACATGTTTTGGAACCACTGTAGCAGTTCAGTCAAAAGCATAAAGAAAAATGTCCAAATATATTGGTTCCACAGACAAAGGACAAAGTTAAACAATATATACAAATAATACCTTTAACAGATAACCCTATAAACCCTTCTAGCCTTTCCAAGGTTTTCTTTCATTGTAATTGCTCTAGACCTTCCAGAAATATCACACGGGTACCTGCTGGCAGCACCCAGTGGTGAGCTGCAGTGATATCCTCATTTTCTTCTTCCAGGTTCTCAGAGGTTGGTCCTTCTTCATTCAGATGAAAAATATGCAGAGAAAGACTGCTTTTGCTCAAGTCAATAGGCTAGAATGAACATGAAAAGACTTCTAACGCATCATATTTCTCATTCAAAGCTAATTATAACAAAAGACAGCTACAGTTTTCAGCTGGCATTCATCTCTGAAGCCTACTATTTCTGTTTCAGACCTTACTAAGCAGTGTAGGCCCAAAAAATTAGCCATGTTTTCCTGGTTATATTAGTCAGCCTAATAAGAGATACTATGTCATCCTATAGACCTTGTCTTGCTTATGTCCTTAGGCCACCACCAGTCTACCTACAACTAGTTCACGGGCATATGAACAGAGCTGTACATTCTTGACTGCAAATACCTGTCTGTCTTTCAGCTTCAGCTCCGTATCCACAATCGACACAGACTGCACATTGTTCTTAAGGAAACTGTCATCAAACTCTGTCCACTTGTAATCACCAAACACGATGGTATGTCTGTTCAACAGCTTTAGGACACTCATCCTAATATCTTCTTTCTTGGCCACACTAACGAGAAAGGAACACCATTACTACATGGCATTGACATTTATAAGGAAATATGAATTAGTGTCAGAGTGCATTATTTCATACACTAAGTCTTCATGGAAAACAGATTCCATCTCACACACACAAAACCAACAAAACAACCAAAAAAAACCCAATACAAAAAAACCCACTTAACTCCCCCACGACATTCTGCGGGAAAAAAGAAAAAGCCCTATCAGTCTGTTTGCAAAAGCAACAAACTTGATATTGTTTTTAATTTGTGCACTAAAAGACACAATCCAAAGAATACTATTTGCTCTGTTTGAGATCATATCAGGGGACACAGAATGACACAGCTAGAAGACTTCAAGAATGGAAATCAGTTATGCAATCTGATTGTTTTTCAGCAGAAAAAACAGAAAAACTCATAGCCAAGCTACTAGACTGAATGTGGTAAGATTAGCTTGGAAGCTCCATTGTACTTTCAAGTCTGAGGGCAGCTGGTACCTCGAGATGGGGACATACTATAAGCAGAATTCCAGTAGAAGAGAAAAAAGCTACAGGAAAAGGAATGCCATTTGAAGATTTCAGAAAGGCTTTAACTTAGTCTTGCAATTTCAGTGATGTATAACCAGTGCAAATTCCAACTTCCTTGTTTTTTAAGCCTGACAAAAAGAGAGCTGTGGATATTTTACAACTTGATTTTTGCAACAACTTGGACACGCTTTCCTATTGTATTCAGATAGCCAGACTGTTAAGATAAGGACTGGATAAATGGACAGTGAGGTGGTTGGACTGTTCAGCTCAGAGGGTTGCAATTACTAGTACAAAGACTAAGCAGAGCTGCCAATAACTCAGGCTGGAAGAGGTGGGGGGCTACTGTTAACACTGTTTTTACACCCTCATTTACACCTTTGACAATGGAATGGAAAGCAATTGCAGCAAGTTTATGGATAACACCAAAGCAGGGAGACTGTCAGTACTCTAGAGAGCAGGGCTGCCATTCAGAGGGACCTCTGCAGGTTGGAGATATAGTTTGACAGGAACTTCTTGAGGTTCAACAAAAGTAAACATGAAATCCTATCTCTCCATTCACTGCTCAGATAACAGAACAGAGCAGAGGTCAACCTGATGAAGAGTAGTTTTGCAGAAAAGGGCCTGGGGTACTGCTGGACAAAATGGCAGTGAGCCAGCAGTGTGCCCCTGCTACAAATAAGGTCAACCTTATTTTAGGCTGTGCTACCAAGAGTGTCAACATCAGGGAAAGCGATTCTTTCCATCCACCGCCTTTGTGGGACCACATCTGGAGTACTGCGTGCAGTTTCAAGCTCTGTCATAAGAGAGACAAGGATAAACCAGAGCAAGTCCCGAATGTGGTCACCAACTTGATTATCAGATGAAATTGAGAGGAATGGATTTGTTCAATCTTAGGAAGAGACACTTGCGTGGAAACTCATGGGAGAGCACAGAGATGGCAGAGCAGAGTCCTGTGGGCTCCTGAGGGTGCACAGCAGGAGGCCAAAAGGAAACAGACAGAAAGTTACATGGAGATCAGAGAGACCTGCTCGATTTCTGATGAACTTCCACATGGATCTGAACGTTGTCACACACGTTTGGGAGCGCTTGCTTCAGCTCCCCTGCGGCATCATCCATCCTTCTCGCTCCTAGGGGAAAAGCGATACCAAGGAGAAGCAATTCCCAGTGTCTGCTATACGCCCAGGGCACAGCCAGTCCTTTCCCGGTGCCCCGTCCGCATGCACCTCGCCCACGGCAAGGATCGGGATCAGCACTTCCCTCCCTCAGGAGATGGCGACGTCAGCCTCGGGATACGCCGCGAGCGCGGCTGGGCCGCTCCTGCCCTCAACGCCGGACACAGGGAATCACCTCAGGGCAGGCACGGTCTCGGGAGAGACGCGCTAGCGCAGCGGAAGGAGCCCGGGAGCGCGGGACGAACCCGAGCCAGCACACTGCGGCCGCCGCCCGTTCGTAAAAGGGCGCGCTGTGCGGGGCGGGGCGGGCCGGGTCGGCTCCTCACCCGGATCTTCCTCCGCCCGGGGTGGGAGGGCCCGCCCGTCCCGGCGCTTCCGGCGGGGCTGGTTCGGGCTCCGGCGCTGGCTCTGCCATGGGGAAGAAGCACAAGAAGCACAAAGCGGAGAAGGCAGAATGGCGCTCGACCTCCGCCACCGCCTACAGCGGTAAGCGCCGGGGGAGACCCTCTTTGTGCCAGGGACGCGCCCGCCCCTCCCTCCGCCCCGGCTGTCGGCGGGACCGGCATCGCTGCAGGGCTGGGGGCTGACAGGGACAGGCCCTGGTTTAAGTGCCGGGGCTGCCGGCGGCGGGGGCGGCCTGGGGAACGCGGGACGAGGGGTGGGTTGTGAGCCCGGGCGTCTCCGTGGTTCCTGCGGCTGTTCCTGGTGGGATCCGGTCTCTGCGGTGCTCGAGTGATGCTTAATTTCACCTTGCTCTGACAAGGATCTTGCAGCGTTTTCAGGGAAAGCCGAGGAGTCGGTTTCTTCCGTGTTACGGGTTTGTGGAAAATCACAACGTAACATGTGCTGAACGACTGTCTATTAGTTTGGATTTATGAGTCTTAGGTATTGTTTTGTTTCCAAATGTATTGTGTATATTTTTGACGTGCAGCAAATTCTTACAAACAGTATTTCTAGAAGCAGCTTTGGAGCTGAGGGTGTTTAGCCTGAAGAACAGGAGGCTCCAGCATGACCCTATCACTCTGTGCAAACACCTGAAAAGAAGTTGTAGCCAGGTTGGGCTCTTCTCCCGGGGAACTAGTGATAGGATGAGAGGACAAAGCCTCAAGCTGCAGCGGGGGAGGTTCGGGTTTGACATTAGGAAGAATTTCTTTGGAGGAAAAGTGGTTATATATTGGAATGGGCTGCCCAGGGATGTGGTGGAGCCACTATCCCTAGACGTGTTTAAGGAAAAACTGGATGTGGCACTCAGTGCCATGATCTAGTTGACATTGTGTTGTTTAGTGATAGATTGGACTCAATGACTTCAGAGGTATTTTCCAACCGAATTGGTTCTGTGATTCTGTAATTGCTGTGTGCTATCATCTCTCTGTGCATTTATGAAATGTTGGTTGTTTTTTGTTTGTTTGTTTGTTTGTTTTGGTTTTTTGTTTTTGTTTTTTGTTTGTTTGTTTGTTTTTTAATTTAGATTATGTGGATAAACCTTTGGAAAAACCCTTAAAGCTGGTGCTTAAAGTTGGAGGAAGCGAAGTGACCGAACTCTCTGGATCAGGGCATGATTCCAGTTACTATGATGACAGATCAGATCATGAGCGAGAACGACATAAAGAAAAGAAGAAAAAAAAGAAAAAAAAGTCTGAGAAGGAAAAAGAAAAGCATCTAGATGATGAAGAAAGAAGAAAAAGAAAGGTAAGCTGAGAGTTTTAGAATTGAGGTGCAGCAGCCACCATGCTTGCTTAGCAGATCTAATATCTGGTGCAGAGTACCAGAGCTTTTTTTTGTTTGTTTGTTTAAATCACTGTTCCGAGAAGCCTACTGTCTGAACGCAGCACCTCATAAATTTAGAAAACCTTTGTGTGTGTATTGGTGTATTTCTGCCATTTAAAGGAGATATATACTTGTGATGATTCTATGAACAAAGTAAAAGCTTCCTTCTTGTAACTGCTCATTTTTCTTATTTATTTGCTTTGAACGAATACTTCCATTTTTAAGTTGGATGTTTTGTATTTCAGCCAGGTCACAATCATGTTTTGCTACCCTTTCAGGGAGGGTATTTTCAGCTTTTCAAATAAATCTTGGTTGCATTTCTCTTCCTGAGATATGCCAAGTTACTGGACATTGAAATTGATATGTTTGCTCAAAACAGCTTTCTGAGATCTGATCTGTTGAGTACTGTGGTACAATAGTTAGATTGGCTCTTAGAATAACCTTCATGCAAGGCTTTGTGACTTTGCTAGTAGCAAATGGTGTGGTCGCCTTAGTTGTCTGTGTTGAACCTTGAGGAGTTTGATTAAAATCAGCAAGAAGGCGTTGACAGTACAGTTACTTGTGCAATTTAATTTTAATAGTATTTCTTTTGTGTACTGATGATTCTTTGACCTCTCTGCTTTTTTAGTTCTTTTTTTGTTTTGTAGTTTTGCTCATATCATGTTTTTTTTGGTGCTACTGTGTATGGGTTTGTGGCTAACATCTGTCATTTCCAATTGATTTGTTAGGCTCAATTGCTTGAAAGTGACGTATCTCATAGGATTGTTAGAAGCTTTTGAATACAGCATAGACAGTGCAAAATTTTCTTAGTACAAATGTTTCAGTTAAGAGTATGGCTGGGATTTGAAATATAGCAAAACAACTGTCCTTCATACAAGATATTGCATCATCAATTGCCTTTACTAAGTTACAGTGTGGGGATTGTTTGGATTTTTTTCCCAGAACTTCACTGTTGGTGCATTCAAAATAAGCTAACAGATACTTAAGAAGCAAAACAGCAGACTAAACAAGGCTAATGAAAATATGCTTTTCTGTGAAAACATGGATAATGACTGCAAGATTATAGGAATGATTTAGGCTTGCCTTTGCTGTGAAGCTCAGGAAGAGATCATTAATTGACACCACTGTTACAGAGCAGTCCTTGTGGTTCTTTTGTGGGCTTTGTGAATTATCATATACTTTACTCATTCCTGTTCAATGCACCAAACAAAAGTACACTGATCAAAGCAGAGCTCCAGACTAATCTTTACCGAATAGTAAATTAACTTCCTTTGCTCTCTAGTGTAACTTGTTATCCTGAAATTTTACATATAAATAGCTTCAGAGTTCAACATTCTTTTCCACGAAAGTACGGTAACGATAGTACAATACTATGTTAAATACAAAGTAGCAAAAGATGAACAGTTTAGTTTTAATTGGAGAAGAAAATTGAAAAAGTGATAGTGAAAATATATGCAGTGTTGTTTAAACCATATTATGACTAAGATATAGAATGATTATTCCAAGTGAAAGAAATCACTGTCTCTTTTCTTTTGGTGTGTGGGATTGCACATTCCAAGTATGTTCTTCTAAAAGATGTCTTCTTCCTGCTGTGCTAGGAAGAGAAAAAGAGGAAAAGGGAGAAAGAACAATGTGACACTGAAGGAGAAACTGATGACTTTGATCCTGGGAAAAAAGTAGAGGTTGAACCTCCTCCAGATCGTCCTGTCAGAGCATGCAGAACTCAGCCAGGTGAGCAGCGTGAGGAATTAAATCATTTTGGTTGTTTTTAAAAGCATGCACAATGAAGTTTTGTCAAAGGTACCAAAATGTAAAATTTTCGTGAAGATTTGCTGAAATCTAGAGACTTCACTTTTTTCAGCATTTAGAACTTTGCATTGTCTGAAAAGTCAGTATTCCTCATGGTGCTTACAGGTTTTAGTAGGTTTGTTTTCAGGTGACTGAAGTTGCCAGGGACATCTGTCTCTGGCTTCTATTACTTGGCAGAATAAAGCTAGCATAAAAGTATTATTGTGCACAGTGTTCCCCTAATGCCTTATCCTTAGCATTTACTGAACAGTGATCAGAATGTCTGAATTTTCAGTTTTCCTTAGTTCAAGGCAAAAAAAAAAAATCTTGTGAAGACTGCTTAGTTGTTAGTCTTTTTTTTATAACATATGTTGAGTTTTAGTATCTATTTTCATTAACAGGAAGTTGCGATAGGGTGTCTCTAAAGACCATAGGCACCATCCCCCACCACCCTATTTTTCATTTACCAATCTTTAATTCTTGTCACCAACCAAAATATTTATGAACTGTGTGTGGCAACTTCTGTATGTTTATTCATGCTTTTTCTACCTGTAGCCATTGCTTGATAGTTAAAACTCAACATTATCCAGTGGAAACTTTTACTTAAGAGAATTTTCAAATACATCATGATCTCAGTTACACATATGCTTGAAAGTGGAACCTGGTAGCAAAAAGCTGTGTCTTTAGGAATATTATGTGTCTTGTCTTTGGAATACTGCCCTTTGACTGGTCAAGTAATTCATTGAGAAGTTTTCTAATTATGACTGGGCATTAAATTAAGGAATGTTGGCCATCAACTGTAAAGGTAACTGAAATTTTCTGGTCAGAGTTTTATGTCTCGGGGTAGTCAGGAACCTTGGAAAACTGAACCTAGGCTAAAAACTAGTCTCTTTATTATTCTATTTTCATCTGCTTGCAAAATAATATTTCAAAGCATATAAATTACCTCACCTATTCCAGTTAAGAAGGGAAATGTCGCTCCAATATCATGGTGAAGAGTTGGAGTTTTAATTCTAGATTTCAGCATGCTGCTTGTTTAGTGTTTCATACTGCACATTAAAGGCAACCCCTCTGAACTATGGAACAAGTAATTAACGAGTAGTATTAATCGTGTAATTTGTACCTGTACAGGAAGTGAAATTGTAATCAGTACCTCATGTGCCAGCAAATCTGCATCTGTTTGTCACTCAGTGATTGAAAGGTTCAGAGAAGCTAATTGCATGGGGTTAATGGTAAAGAAACCACTAAAATTGCACTGATAACATGTTGTAAGAATGTGGATTTCCCAATTGCATGATTTCAGCAACCAAGTTTCACTTTTCTTTTCCTGTAAAAATATATAACATCTTATTTTAATCTTATTAATATATATTCTTAGAGCTACTAGACTTAGCATTACATCTGACTTAATGTCTATTAGTTTTTAATGTGATGAAAGCTCAGAAAACAGTAAAGGAGAAGAAATAGGTACTGTATGCTTCTGCTTTGAAACATGTGTCACGCTGAGCTTCAGATATACAAACTGTACTTGTAGTTAAGATGTTCTCTCTGGTATTTATATTTTTTAAATAAATGAATATACTTGTATTCTGTTTCCTTGCACTTATCTGTGTTTTCATCTCAAAATGCAGCTGAAAACGAGAGCACACCGATCCAGCAATTACTAGAACACTTCCTTCGGCAGCTCCAAAGGTATAAACTGTATTGTACGTTCAGCTGTGCTGACAGTGTCTAATGCATATTTATATGTGT